GTTTTGGTGTTCCGTAGGTGTTTGCAGCTCTCGGGCTGTGTGGATGGGCCAGACTGTGGTTTATGGGTATCACCGGTAAATGAATGCTGCTGCTGATGCAGGCATCCAAATAAAGGTGAACGATTTTTGGTTTACCACATTCTCAAAAGAGGTAGAGAATTTCTTGCTTTTTCCAGTTGATTTATACAAAAGATAAATTAAGTGACATTCTCGCTTTGTGCACTTATCCAGTTCAGTAATGACAAACCTTACAGCCGGTACTTTTGGGTGATCTAAATAGGAGTTAAATGTTGGTCAAACATTAAAATGTGATTTTTTTTTTTTTGTGTTGCCTTGTTGTTGAAGGTACAGCTCTGGGGTTTCGGTGAGTCACTGCCATGAGTGGGAGGGTAATGCGGGCTCTTTCGGTCTGGCTTTGTGTGTGTGTGTGTGTGTGTATCTGTGCTGTGTTCCCCAGTTTGGATGGGCATGTGTGGTGGGACTGGGAGGGACAAAAGGGTAGGAGGGAAAGGTAAAGACTCTGTAATAATCCTTTGGGAAGTCCTGTTTTAGCAGAATGTGGAACGTGAAAAGTTTTTGCCTGTGTTAGGTGTTATGGTGTGTTCATCTGAAACCATCAAAGGTTGTGTTTATGTCCATGATTCATACCTGAAGGGTTTTGTAGTCAACTGGGTTAGAATCATAGAATGGTTTGGGTTGGAAGGGACCTTAAAGATCACCAAGTTCCAACCCCCCTGCCCTGGGCAGGGACACCTCCCACCAGACCAGGTTGCTCCAAGCCCCATCCAGCCTGGCCTTGAACACTTCCAGGGATGGGGCAGCCACAGCTTCTCTGGGCAACCTGGGCCAGTGTCTCACCACCCTCACAGCAAATAATTTCTCACTGAGATCTTATCTCAATCTCCCCTCTTTCCGTTTAAAACCATTACCCCTCATCCTACGGCTCCACTTCTGATCAAGAGTCCTCCCCATCTCTCCTGTAGCCCCCTTAGATATATAAGGTTATAAGGTTATGAGATGCTGAACCACGTGTGCTCTGGATACGGTGGTGGAATAAATTTCTCATACGTGTGGGACTGTAACCGTTAAAACAATCATTACTGAAACCGTATACCTTATTTCCTGTAACTAATAGCAGCTCTCTACCTATGGAATATATTAACAATTATTCCTTTGGTTTTGGATTGTCGCTCAGCTATTTTGTTGGACAGATATTTAAACATGATCTACAATTTATGTTGTCTGGATACGTCAATGAACAGAGCTAATTATGGCTTTCTGATGCAAGCTCTGCTGATGCTTGTGAAACCACACTTCTGTTTATAAGACAGAGTGAATGTATGTTCTTCAATAAATCATGGAAAATGATGAGTTTTCTCTACCTAGGTTGGTTAACAAAGATATTTCAGTTGATGTTCACCTAGAGTTTGAAAAGAAGCGATGGTTTCTGTGGGTAGTTGAACAATGTTGCCATTAACGTAAACATTTATTTATTAGTCTATGGTACTCAGAATTTCTTTTAAAGGAAAATTATTGGGTCAGACAGCAGTGGCTCATTTAGGGACCCCATCACTCACTGTTTTTCTGCAACGTGCTTGTCGTGTGGTAGAGCTGAAGCAAATGACAGAAGTCCTGGATGAATGTCACTGTGAGATGCTGCCTTTGAAGACAGCACCTAATCATCTACCAAAGTGTCTCAGTATTTAATATACCTCAGTATGAGTCATGTCAGTTTTGACGCTGGGGAGGATTTTCTTATTTCAGATACTTTCTTATTGATATATGTCCTGAAGAATATGCTCTATGTTTGGTAGAAGCAGAATAACAGATTTTTTTAAAGCCAAGGGTGCTGGAGAAGCACCCAGGATTGCTGACTCCAGAGAGGAAACACCGTAATGAGAAAGGGAAAGCAGTTCTGGTTTTCTGATATTTGTTGTTTTCTTTGAAATGGGGAAAAGAATACCTGGAGTGATTTATATTTAATTGAGGATTGTGTTCCATCAGATACGGTGAGTGTTCTCAGGCCATTTATCAGCTGTGTCTTTTCCAGACCTCCGAGGAGAATATGGTACATATTTACCTTCACTTGGCTAGGTCAAGGGAAATAAAGCAAAAATAATGGATGTTATTTTTGTATGTGAACAAAACTGGAAGTCGTGTGGGTGAAATATGAGGTAAATGACTGTGTCCTACCTCCTCTGTGCCTTTTTGAAATACAAGAAGTTATTAGTTATATGTAATATAATTTCCTTTGCGTTATCAGTGTATCTTTTTAAAACAGAAGATTTATTGACTTTTTCATTGCTCCAGTTTAGTCAATCCCTGAAGTCGATGTGACATATATTGTGCTGCCGTTATTCTTTAGTAGTTTCATATTTAAGTAGCATCTTGTAAAAAGAAAAAAAAACAAAAGCAAAAAAGCCCAACAAAACAAGAACAAAACATGCCAGATACTGCTCTTCATATAACTTTTTTTTTCCTAAATTGAATTTGCTGTGTGTTGCTGGTGATGTATACAGGTCATACCACGCTAGAATCCTACAAGCGCTAGTGAGAATTTTAACAAGCAGTACCTAAATTTTGGGGGTGTTTCATAAAAAAGCTTGGGGGGGAGGGGGGGGAGAAAAAAAAAAAGGTGTTGTTGCTGGTTTTCAACCTCTCGTGCTGCTGCCGTGGGGTCTACGGGTGTTACTGCGAAAAAATTAGGCAGCGAGAAGCATCTCACACCCCCTCCATGGTGCATCCGCAATTTCAACCCTCTTTTCCCCATGTAAACAGCCAAAGGGGGTTTATTGTACAGCAATATTTGTGTAGTATTTCCATGACGCGTTTTTATTGCCAGATCTAAAGGCGGGATAAAGGCAGAAGAACCGAAATGTCAGGATCTTTAAGCAAGAAGAGAACCTGAGAACCTCAGAAGTCTCTCCCCGTCAGCACGTACAGTGGTCCCTCGTCCCCGTGAGGGACTTAGAGTGAAAACTGTTCCAAAATACAACCCGTGAGCACGTTGTCGAGTCAGCTAAACCTGGTGATAAAACCGGTTTTCAGATGCCTCTGATGAAGTGCAATTCGATCGGATATTTCGTGAATGATTTTGCTAATGATTTGTAAATTCACTGCAGCTCGTTCTCCCCGAGCGACTGACTCGGTGGCATTCACCAACTTTTCACGTTACCCCCATTTTTTGGGGGGCTGAAGTTGCAAAACGCTTCCCTTTGAGTTAACTTTTCGGCGACATTTGATGATGAGCGCAGCGTGATGAATTACAGATTGTTCTTTAGGTGAATAGTGCAGATTCTAAAACACAGCTTGTGTTTTTATAGCAGTTATTACCCTGCAGGCTCCGAAAGGGCTTTGGAGCACAGAGGATGATTTTGGTTACATCATTGTAAATTCAGAAAACGTCAGTGATCTCAAAAGTGTGATTTTTTTTGAAATTAGGTCAGTGGAAAAGACATCAGAATCTGCTTTGCTACCTGAAAAGAAGCAAGTTCTAAAACAGAGTGAAGTCTCTGCTTCCTGAAAGGCAGGGAATAATTTTTCTTTGGAAAGGAACTTAATTGTCCAAAAAAAAAAAAAATTATTTGAAACAGTATGAGGGAGTGAATAATAGAGCACGGAATACTTTTTCTCTTGTTGATTGACCTGTAATGACCAAGGAAATCTACATGAGTGATTCGGCTTGTACCATGATGGGCCAATGACTCAAAATTATAAAGGTTTCTTGTATTTTTCTCTCCCACTTAAATGTATTCGGTGTTTGGATTTTTTTTGTTGTTTAGTTGGTCTTTTGGTAGCTGCAATGCATTTAAAAGGCTTTTTTGTTTGTTTGTTTTCTACCCCGTGATTAGAGAATACACAATTTTTTTAACTTGAATTTCAGTAAATTTCAAGGTTGAGGTGATGATTGAGATTTTCTGGAGAGTGTGTCGTTCTCTGTTGAATTCTCACTTTTTGTCACCAGAGGCTTTGAGAAGATAAGGATTACAGTCTGAAACCACTAGAAATGACAGGTCAGGAAGTGGATGTACAGTCTTGCATCAAATGTGAAGCCCAAGCAAACAATTTTAACGGCGAGTTCTCCCTCGTTAGGGTGTGTTGAGAAGAAAACCATCAGAGAGGCAGTGGTGGATGGTGAATACCTTTTCAGTTTTTTGTTTTCAGCTTGTGGATTTGATTGGTTTTGCTCAAACCAGCCGAAAAGCAGCTTTTTCGGTACCCACCCCCCTCGGTCGGTGACTCATGAAGGAGATGAGCAATAGTCACAGGGCTTGTGTCTTTCCCTTCACTTTGGGCAGCACGTTTTGCATCCTGTTTATGAGAAATTTGGTGGGTTCTCATCTGAGAGCTTCCTTAAGCCTATGGTACTCTTTTTTCCAGCCCTTTCAGAGGACTCAGGGTTAAAAATAACATGATTTATATCTCCTGTAGGGTCCCAGCGTGATGCTGGGGTGGGGATCCCAACTCCCAGTGATGCAGGAGGGACTCCTGGGGTGATGCTTTAAATCACCCGAATTATTAGGAACTACTGCATCTGAAGTGTGTTTGAATTCTTCTTTAGTTTTATCTACCACCAGGAAAAGGATGAAACCTGTGAAAAAAAGAATAAACTACTTCCTAACCTGTAGAAGAATTGTACATATGTATTTAAGAGTGCGTAAAGTAAAGCTGCTTTTGAATATCTGGTTGAAATCAAAACAATAAATTCAAATACAGTATATTTTTTTTAAAGTCCTGCATATTTTGATTCATTTAAAATTTACGAACGGTGTCTTTTAATGGTTGAAACTAATAGGTGTGACAATTTTGTCATCGTAATTGCTAAGTAGCCTTTTTTGTAGTAAACTCATTAATATAATATGAAGGATTAATTTCACGGGAGAAATGAAGGCCCTGTAAGGCCTTGCAATATGTTTCTGCTTTTTCCAATATCCTTTGCTTAAGTAAAGTAAACCAAGGTGTATTTCTAAAGCCAAATATTTCTCTGTTGTCATTTTCAGCACCCAGACGTTTCTGAAGTACTTGGGAAATGAGTGTTCTGCTCATCGAAGCCTTTTATGGTGGTTCCCACAAGCAGCTGATGGACCTTCTCCAGGAGGAGCTGCAAGAAGACGCTGTCCTCTGTACGCTCCCTGCCAAGAAGTGGCATTGGAAGGCAAGGACTGCAGCTCTTTATTTCATGCAAACGGTGCCAACAAGTGCTAATTACAGGTAACCCAGGAGTCGAACCATTTCTAAGCTCAGATTACAAACCTTCAGCCAGGTCTCTTGAGCTGACTCTTTGGATGTGATCTTGCAAGTGTACGTGCATGAGCGAATGGAGACTTGCAGTGGATAATGGAAATTTTTCTTCTTGCACTGACTTTTTGGGGTATAATTGGGAAGTTACTGTCATGTTTTTGAGTTTCCTGCACTATTTTGTCTTGCTTTGCTTGTCCTTGAGAGTCTCTAAGAGTGCAAATATGTGGATACCTGTTGGTGTACACATGTACATCTTATTTCAAAATTATCAGGTGACACATGTATGCAGATACCTGTTGGTGTACACACGTATATGTACATCTTATTTCAAAATTATCAGGTGAATTCAGGAATAGCGAAAGGTTTAAACTGTGCTTCATTAATTAGGTTGAAGGATGACCCAGATGTGAAAGCTGCAATCTTCCTCCCGTGCCCTCCCCTGTATCTGTTAACAAGTCTGATTTATCAGAGTGTACTCCTTGGGCTGACCCTGAGGATTAAGGGAGCAGTTTTATCTTAATGACGGTCCGGTTCTGTAACGTGCCAGCAGCTCTGGATGTCAATTATGCATTTATGTAAGTGGCAAATTCCTATCAGCCAGAACCTGGGCTGATAAAAGTGGGCTATTTAGGTCGACAGATAGCTATCGTGGAGTGAGAATCAGTCACTCCAGAACCAAGCTGTCTTTAGACCCCGAGGATTTCCCTTGGGCTACCTGATGGGTTGAGATGTGGTAAGATGATGGGATTTGAGCGGTGACGTATCATGGAGCAGAGCCTGGGTAATGAGTGAGCCCTCGTTTGACTTGGTGCACGGGGGTGTTTTAGCACAAGTGGCTGCTTTTTGGCCACAGAATGGACTTCAGCAGGACCCCAAGCATGCCAATCAGTTATAGTTCAGAACTGGATCAGGTATTTGTTACCAGGAGCAGGTAGACATAGTTGGCTGGGGAAGGAATATCATTTTTCAAGAGTAGATCTTGTGCTCCAGAAGGCTGTGTTTGAACAGTGTCACCCAACACAAGGTCTAACCCATTTTGGAGTGCACACTATATCAACGTACACCTTTTCCATGCGTGCTTGGCTTGCGTTTAAAATAAGCTCCCATCCCAAGCCAAATGTTATAATTAAATTTTCCCCGGTTTGCCTCGTGCGAGGCATTTAGCGTTGGTTTCCTCTTGCAACAATTTTGTTTTGGAGGAGTCTACATGACAAACTGTTATGTAAATTTGTCTTGCATCGCAACCGCATCCTCCAACGCATCGCAATGTTATCTGTGTTCCTTCAAGGTCAGCAGCCCAAGCTGTCCAGCACTAACTCTATTAAACTAATCAGACATCACTCAGAGACATACACTTCATTAGTTTAACTTACAGTTACGTTGACCTAAGATAACTTCACTCCAATTTGTCAAGTAACCCACATCTTGGGGAAAGGGGGGAGGGAATGACAACAACAAAAAACCCACCCAAAATCCCACAAAAAAACTAACCACCCAACAAAAAAAAATATACACCAAAAACCTCAACCCAGCAGCTTGAAAACCCACTTGGAAGTTAATAAACTTGCAATCTGTCATAGACTTATGTGCAAATATAACCCTTACTGACAGCAAATAAATCTGATCTAACCAATAGAGCATCTTAAAGAGGGGGAAGTTTTTTTTTCTTGGCTGTTGCTGTTTGGGGTTTGATCAGACGGAATCGAACAGTCAAAGTTCACAGAGATGCTATGTTTAAAATGAGAGTATGTACCTTATTCCTGGCAAGCAGGAGAGAATTTTTATGAACGAGGGCTGATGGGACTGGTGAGAAGAAAACTTGATTAGAGGTACCTTCTACTTTCCTTGCACATTTTAAATGTTTGTTTTGCAATTGACTGTTTCAAGTATTTTATTAAATTGGAAGTATAAGTGCATCAGACTACAGCCTAATGAGGCTGACTGCTCTCTCCTGTTAGAAAAAACGTTGATTAAAATTAACATTGATTCTTTGATTTCTGGCTCGCTAGTAAGCACTAAAGATCTGCTTCCCAGGTAGTAGTTTCAGACAAAATTTTCATTGCAAACTGGCAGGAGTGTGTGTTTTGAATTACACGTTTTAATATTTCATCCTTCTTAGTAGGTTGTGGGAAGTGCCCAATTTGCATTATTTATACTATTGACATTATTTGTAGAATAAAAATATTCTTTTACAAGTGATTTTCATAAATGTGTCGCTTCATAAACACCTTGTTTCTATTTGTGCGTTTAATAATAGAGAAAAGTCACAAATATTTCCAGTGCAAACACTTCTGGAGCTGCATCACTACATTTTTCATGTCAAGGTGTACTTTATTTCAAGATGGATGAGAAATGATACTGATGCTACTGAGTCTGATATTGCTGTATAACTACACAGCTGTTAGATACGTTTTAAAAGATCTATACTTTATATGTTTGAGCTGATTATGGGAAGGAAACAGGTTTGATAGTTTTCAAGTGATGTTCAGTGAGTTAAGAATCAATCTCAAAAAGCACTTTAGAAGCAGAGTATGTGGTGCAGAACCATGGGTGTTAAATTCAGGTGCTCTGCAGTGACCAGAGAATTCATGTTATGAACTTGCAAATACTTTGATGGGAGAAGAGGCTTGTACTCCCTTGGGCCAGAATTAAAGCTGAATCGGCAACGAGCAGTCTGTCTACCATTAACTTTTGTGAAGTTGTACTTGGTGTGTAATAAAATGATGTTCCTGTGCAGGAACGAGGAGATCTCCCCAGAACTGTCCCAGGGAGAAGACGTCCTCACCCCTCAAGGGTGTAGAAGATATCGGGCACTTAGTATTTTATTTGCAACACTGTATGGATTTATATTAGTCCCCTGATGCTGTGCTCTGTTTCTCTAGGGAAAAAAAAAAAATATGTTGCTCTTCTGTTTTCATTCTTCATTGTGCAGAGTGTCATTAAACCAGGTCCCGTCCTCCTTCATCTCCTTAAAGGAGGACAGAAGCCCCAATGAACGGGGAGGATCAGGCAGCAGCGAGTCCCTCCAGCTTGGAAGGCCAGAAGGAGAGATTTTAGAGGTGACACACTTGGCTAGTAAACTTGAAACGGTCTCATATATTGATGTACAGCAGCCACAGAACTGAGCATTTTTAAGAGCTTTCTTAATTGCTGTACAGAGACTCACAGGATTTTTCCTTAATTGGAAAGAAGGTGCCTGTTTGGACGTTCCTTTTAATACAAGGATTTTCATCCTTGTGGTGGCAATTTCCAAATCACAGCATTTGAAGTGCACTGAGAAAGGGCAGAAGTGCTGTCTGCTTTCCTTAGCCAAGTTTTTCAGCAATTAGAGAGTTTGGTTTGCAGTCGATGGAATATTATCATCTTCATTCCGTAAATTAGGAGGGTCCAGCAGAGAGACATGACCTCCTCAGGCTGCTGGCAGTCTCCAGAACTGCTGCGTTGTCTGCTTTGTCTCCCAACTTGCTTCAGACAGCTTAAATTCTTTGATAAATGTAGATGTCTGATCTTGTCTAAAGTTGTTTTCCATAGCCCGTAGTGACTATTCAGTAATTTTGGAAAGCACATAACAAAAATTAATTTTTTTTAAGCCTTTTTAGTCCTTAATTCAAGGAAAGTTCTCAAATTTGAAAATACTGTTGGAGAATTTAATGAGGAAAAATAAAAAGGTGACTTATTTTCTTTGTAATTCTACTCTTTATTACCACAAACAATCTCTAAAATTTCAAGTAGTAAAACGGTTGATATGACAAACTAGACAAAAGCATTTTATATTTTAGGGACTGTCCTCTACAGAAAGTAATTCAGAACTTCAAAAAGTTAGTAGTGTAAGACTTAGATCTGCAAAACTGGGAGAGTAAATGCAGCGTAGCTTCCAGTTTGTTTTAATAGCACTGCTAGATTATTTTAAATATATATATATAAATATTATGTGTAACATTCAGTATTGCCCCCCAGGTAGCTGTTCATATGAATAAAGATTTTATTTGTAACAGACTCTAGCCCTGAAATACCCCTAGGGTAAGTGTTAGCATATATATACCCCTTGATATTTGACAACTATATTTTAAAGACAAACTCTTGGTTTTTTTACATTTTACAAAGGAGAAAAAAAATCATTGTTTTCAATTAATAGAGCTCTGAAAAAAACCCCAACCAACTGGGGGGGTGTGCTGTTCAGTAGTGTAGAGTATATTCCAACAGTAGATGATGTAGATTTCGGTTTTTAAAAAAAAAAAAAACTGTTAAGACTACTAGGTTTAGGATTGTTTCAGATGGGATACTTTCATTCAGTTCTATAAGGAGAAAATGTGTTATTACGGATTGAATTCTTTACTGACTGGTGTTGCCTAAATGTCCCCTTCAAACAGATCGGATGCTTTCATTCAGTTCTATAAGGAGAAAATGTGTTATTACGGATTGAATTCTTTACTGACTGGTGTTGCCTAAATGTCCCCTTCAAATCAGTGATCGCTGTAAATTTTTATTCCACTGAATAGTTTGTCCCCACTGAAAACATAACACAGTTTACATGTGTGAGGATTCATAAACTGGAGAACTTACTGTTTTCTAGATATTTTCTTTAAAAAAACCCGACCCCAAACCTGCAAGTAATATGTCCTGGGTAAGACATTTGAAGATGTGAGCAAGGCAGGGCAAATCTAGGCCATTTAATTAAAATCAAATACATAGATGCCCATTTGTGCTGGGAATGGTTCTTTTTTCTTACATCTTTATGTCAAATACTTTTAAGTGCGGCTTTATATAATAGTTGTTGGAAGTGGAATGATTTTCTCTATATTAGAGGTCTTCCCAGCATTTGGCTCTAATATCATTTAGGTGAGAAATAAATAAATTGCATGCGTGAGTAGTATGTGAGTTAAATAAAACATAAGCACATACCTGTAAATTAAAAAGCAATCTTTACCTGATACTATTTTTTGGCATATTTTATGGTGTTTCCTTCTCTG